TGAATTAACCATTGTGCCATTGTAGTTAATTTAAATAAGTTACTAATATACCTTTAACAATGACTTAAGATTAGAGAAATATTAATGGCAGTGTTCAGCAAACTCAATAATTTCAACTGAACAAAGATAAGATGGCAATAACTGTTATTTAATGGCAGCGAATCTGCTGAACTATGAATTACGAGTTGATGCGAGAGGATTGTGGCACTAAAGTAGCTTCTGTTTGCTTCCAACAACTTAAAAACATTCAAACAACATTGCTAGACCTGATACATAATATAGCTAGACACCAACCAAATGCCGAAATTCCATCGGGCTAATTTAAGGCTAATTACTAAATGAATTACATAACCAATTTGGCTCTAGAGGTAAGTGTTAAGAGCCATCTTGTATTAACATTAATAATTATAAATTAATTAATTAATTTAAATAATTTAGAACCGCTGGGAGAAAAAATCGGCCCGGAGCGGCACTCGAACCCACAACTTATGACGTTAGCTTATATATGCTGGAAGAGGAGATCGGATTGGAGGTCCAGATAGTGTAACTGGCAATGCATCTGCATGGTAAGCAGGAGTTGTGGGTTTGATCCTGCTCTGGGTCGATTTTTTTTCTCCCAGTGGTTCTGAATTATTTTAATTAACATTAATAATTATAAATTAATTAATTAATACAAGATGGTGCCTAATGCTTACCTCTAGGACCAAATTGGTTATGTAATTCATTTAGTAATTAGCCTTAAACTAGCCCGATGAAATTTCGGCATTTGGTTGGTGTCTAGCTATATTAAAAGCATTCAATGAAGTAAATTATATTCATTTTAAAGTTTATTTTGCAGATATCTGTTTTTTAGTTGATGATGACTGTTTTTGAATGTATTAATACTGTAATTTATGCTTTCATATGCATAAATATACAGTGGGTGATTGGTTAATGAACATAATCTATTCCAAGACTTTGTTTGCTATCCAAATTGTTCATTAACTGATTATCAATTTACCATAGGTTTGTATGGGAATTTGATTAATTTGTTCTGGAGACCCCAAAAAATAAAAAAATATATACTTTCTTACTACGTTTATTCATATGTACAGTAGATCATCGATTATCCGACTTCCGATTAACCGTTACATCGGTTAATCGACCGTTATAATCAGCAAATTTCAAATGTCCGCTAGTGATGTGGCACTACAATATTTGGCTATGTCTTGGCTACTTTAATATTATTTTTGTTAAATTTTTGTGTGTTTTAGCTGACAATACTGGCTTGACCATTGAAGGGAGGCCAGTATTTAAACGAGACTTAATTTTCTAATTATGAGTAGTTGTTTGTTTTGTGAGCAATAAAATAATTTTAAAATATTTTTAACGATACAATAGCAACGATTATTATTTTTTTAAAGAATTTGTTAGGCTTAACATCGATGAAAATTCAACGCGAAGTTAGTTAATAGCGATATACTAATTACATGGGATATACTAATATACTATACTAATAATATATTTTTTTCATTGTTTTCGGTTATCCGATTTTTTCAGTTATCCGACCAACCTGAGTCCCCAATTGAGTCGGATAATCGATGCTGTACTGTAATAATAAAAAAAAACATATATATGTTACCGCTAAAGCTTGAAAGTCGTTAATGTGTACATTACCTAGCTAATCTGCAGATTAACTAGGGTGATCCGTTAAAGTTGCTAAAATTGTTCTATTTCTCAAATTACTTAGGTAAAGTGCAGATTATCTAGGTAATCTGCAAATTACCTACTAGGCACTCGGTAAAGTGAAAATAAATTCTTTGCTGAAACAACAGTAACGTTTCTGTACGCTTAAATTAACATAATGTTCTTTATTTAATTTTTGATATCTAAAGAATCAAGTTAATACAATCAAACAATCGACAAATTTGTTGATAGAATCAATCATCAACCAATTAAAAAACATACAAAAAATCAAACGGTTTAAAATATTAATACAATTAGGGAAATTATTATATAGATAACCATCTATGGAATTTCGGGACTTTGAGTATCTATCTGAACTGAGGGGGCCGAGACGACTTCAACGATACCCAACTTTTGGATCGGAGACGAAAAATAATAAAGTTATCATACTTTTTCTGGTGATTGCGTGATATAATTGTGCAGTTAATGTTACTTATGGTGGGTAAAATGGCGGCTTGTCTCCGATTCCAGAAAACAGAAGAAAGGAAACAGTGGGGATGCACGTTCTAACCTAACCTAATCTAGTCTAATAAATTACCATAATTATTACCAACCAAATTATTAGAATAGGTTAGGTTAGGTTTGAACGGGCGTCCCCACTGTTTCCTTTCTTCTCTTTGCTGGAATCAGAGATGAGACGCCATTTTACTCACCATAGGTAACATTATCCAATTGTGCTTACTTACTAGTGCAGTTTAAAGATTGGTGACACTTTGAATTTCATAGCAGTTGGTTTTTGCTACAAGCACACCTATTTGTGGCAAAGATCTTATTTTCATTTTACCGAGTGCCTAGTAGGTAATGTGCGGATTACCTAGATACTCTGCACATTATCTAGGTAATTTGAGAAATGGAACAATTTTCACAACTTTAACGGATCACCCTAGTTAATCTGCAGATTAACTAGGTAATGTACACATTAACAACTTTCAAGCTGTAGCAGTAACATATACACAGACTTGCATTTTTATTAGTCATGTTTTTTTTGTTTGTGGGGTTAAATAATCTGTCTAATGTCGATTGCTTCTCTCTCTTCTTCAGGATTTTCAGAATTAATAGCATTGTAATTGTAGAGATCCCCAAGACTATTAACCTCAACCTGGTTTGTATGCCATTCTAAGATCATTGATCTGACATATCCCACTTCTTCAAAAGATCTTTAATTAAATTAATAGCAGATATCAGCATTAATCCTCTTTTTCATAATAAAACATATCTCACCAAGTTTCTTTAGTGTTCTTCTGTCGTCAGATCTCCATTATGAGCTCTTCAATGTTCTTTATTTCTCAGATGTGATATTTGTTACTCCTTTAGCTGCTTGAGTCTTCTTAATTATACTGTATCTTTCTTAGATAAGATTGAACTGCGCCCTACTGTAGATTTGTTCAAGCCATACTGTCCAGCAACATCAGACATCATCTGCCCATTCTATCTTTGCTATTATACTCTCACCTTTTGAAAATAAAAACCGATGCAAAACTTAATGAGTGCCTGCCCGACAGTCTGGCGAATACTTTAAAAGAATTATTTGTCAGAAAAATAAAAGGCTGAAATTACAAGGGAGTATTTCAAAGTTCGAGGAATACTATCTGATCAGTATATATCTGGTTGAGCACTGACATTGACGTCTCTCTTGCTCCAAAAATTTACCTGAAGACAAAGGAAAAGCAATCAGTATTTGCTATTTTCATTGCTTCTTTTTATGCTTTTTCAGTGAAATGTTCGTTATCCAATCATGTGTTCATTTTCCGACCATAAAAATCTTTTGCGAAAGTGTTCATTATCCGATTTGTTCATTAACCAATCACCAATTATATACTTCTTGTTATATGGGTACAGCCATCTTTGATCAGATACAGCTACTCAAAGGTAGCATAAATGAAATCCACTATTAAATATGACATCAAAACACCAAAACAGTGCTACTATAGAGGGTATTCAGCAGAAAAATACTCAACAGCTCTAGAACTATCCAGTCTGCTGAATGCAGCCAATGTCGTAGATCCTGCTAATATGTCATCTTAATGTGTGAAAAGGTATAGAAGGAAGATTCCTATCTTTTCACATTTGAATACAACTCGTTAACCGGACTGAAGATATTAGTGATTTACAAACCACTGCTAAAGGTGTATTAGTTACTTCATGACATAGATTAATATTTAGAAAACTTTAATCCAAATTCAAATTTTATGAAAATTACACTTTATTGAATGTAATTTTAAATATTGTAAACATGTGGTTTTGAGTTCTGACATGTGTTCAGGTACTTAATTACTTCTAAAAGAACAACATGAAATGTTAACATTTTAAAAATATTCTAAATAAGCCCTAGTGTAATCTTCTTTAAACATTTAAAAATATATAAAAGTATATTCCAATAAAGCATAGTTTTTATTTAATTTTAAATTAATGTTTACATTATTTGGAAAAGCACTCATTTTTTTTTTCTTGTTAGAAAGTTTAAAAAATATACACGTCATAATGATTTATATAATGTAATGTAATAATGGATATGGGTAATAATTGTATTGTAACATACTAAATCCTGTTTAGTTTTCTAAGTTGAAAATATTTGTATGAAATACCACAAATAGGCTGAGTTTCTTTTATTATAAAATAATAAAAAAAATAATACAATATAACACACATATATATATATCTCATAGACTTATCATTTTGATGTATTATGTTTATGATTAATAAATTAAAAGTTTATTTACAGCATATTTTATTTAGAACATTCGTCACTTAATTATTGTTAATATGCCACATTATAAATATTTCTTTATTAATATAACCAACTTTTAAAGTTAGATATTTAAAATCTTGTGTTTTAAGTTTATTGCTATTTACAAGAAACATCTACCCATATGTAATTAATAAACTTTTAATTACCAATAAATATAATTTAACTCCTGTATGAATCATGATGTGATTCATTATTATTGAAATTTATTTCTCTTTAGAAAATTTCAGTACAAAGGTCATTTTCCAAATGACAAATATATTTTACCAATACATTTTTGATATTTATGTTTTATTTATAATATAAATATTACTAAAAGCAAAAAGTAAGTATTCTATGTTTATCTTATTCAATTTTTTTTTTACCTATTTCTGATTACTTATACTTTTATTAGTAATAATCTCAAATTTATCATTCATAATATAAAATTATCTCTGTATACAGTATTTATTTATAAAGTAACATTAACATAATCTGAATTAAATATAATTTATTAAAATTAATTGACTTAATATAATTGATTTTATAGAATTAAGAACATGAGTAGCAATAATAATGGAACTTTTCTTGAGCCTTTTGCTAAAAAGCAAAAATCTAACAAGGTAAATTTGTATTTTTATTCGTATATTAAAATATTTCGCTAAGATTTCTTTTAAGCATATGAACTAATTTCACATTTTCTGTTTTAAAATTCACTCATTATTAGATATTAACTAATTATAAAAAAAAATTTAACATTTATAATAAACTTAAACCCAAAATATTTTTAGAGAAGTGAGAAACATGCCAAGCTTAAAAATAGTATCAATGTAATTTTAAGTTCATGCAGTGAATATTTCTGATGTATTATTTATTTAATACAATTTACCAAATTTTATATATAAGTGTTGTTTGAATGAAACATGAACAGGGACATATAAAATATCTGGTGTCACTGTTCATCATAGCAAGATTAGAATATACATAGCATAATGACAAAGATGTGTTAGCTGCTATAGGAAATCACTTCTTGTGTTCAGATATTTCCCAAACTGGTACAAGTTTGGAAAATGTCTGAACATATTAAAAGAGGAAAACTGCTGGAGGATTCATTCAGTTACAACTGTACAGATGTTTGGACTTCATTGTCAGATTGTAATTGCAACCTTTGAGAAACTTTTTTAAAAGTTTGAAAAAAATGGAAGGTTTAAAGCACATCTGAACAGAATTTCTCATCCAAAGTGAAGCAGCATTTGGTTAGAATCTTGATATGTTGCCTTGCAGCTTCCATGTTTTTGGACCTTTAAAAAAGTTTGTCAAATGTTATGGATTCCAATTTGACAAAGTTCACACAGCTATATAGCTATAACTGAATGATTCATTCAGTAGCATTCCTCTTTGTATATGGAAGATAAAATACACAAACTTATATCATGTTTGAATGCAGAAGTAATTTTCTGTAGCAGCTAATGCAACTTTGTAATTATGCTGTGTATACTGTAATATTGCTGTGGTGACCAGTAACATCATACAGTTTATAACATATAGTCTGTTTCATTTGAACAACCTTTATATTAAGTGGTGTTGGAATTTATCCTATATGACATATATACTGATGCCTAGTGCTATGCCAGACTAAAGTTAAGGCATAACTACAGAAAACAAATGTTTTGTTTTATATGTTTTTTGTTGATGTATCTGTGACATGTTATACTTTAGCATTAGATAGAAGGTAGAAAATGGGATTTCTCGTATACATTACACGTAGATTTGAATCTTTGGCAGTCTTCTTGTAAATGTAATGTTGGGACTGTTCATAGCTTAGAATTTCCTTATTACCCTCTGCTTTGTTAACACTTGTACTGGTGTTGGACGACTTAAGCTTACTTAGTTTGGATGATGGTTGTAAACTGTTGAAAGCACTAGCGAGTATATCTGAAATTTTACAAATTGCTGTCAATAATGCCGCAACACAGAAGTGTCCTATTACTTAGTTTAGTCTCCATGGACCTAAGAACCATTTCATAAAGCACCCCAAAAGGAGCCCCCATGGAGACATACCTATTCTGTACCTATAGAACAGAAGTGTCTAAGAGATGATAAGGATCCCTGGACATGGCACTGATCCTAGGTGTTTACAACTTACCTTTAACATACAACAGAATCGCACACACTCTCTACTACTTTGGGCCCATCCTGAGATCCATCCAACAACACTTAAAAGAACACAAGGATGATGATAGGAAATCCAACCCAATTACCACCTTAGTTGCATATGACATCGCTAATCAAAATTCTACAAGTATTTTATGGGACCGAACCCAAATCATCCAAAAAAAATAGGCAATCACCAACATGTGCTACGTAGAAGTTTTTCATATTTGTAAAGCGACGTGTATGGGATATTCTATCAATTATAAGAATGTTAACTCTCAGCAGCTTGGAGGTCCTTTTTTGTATACCCTCTACATAAATAACATGAAGCCTTGTGACAGCTACAGAATGGGCTATTTATATAATTTGATTTAATAGATGGGGGTTCATTATTTAATATTTTATATTTAATTAATTTTAATGTTTCTTGGTATGTATCGATTTATTTTTATATAGTCCTAAATAGCCATAAAGGGAAAACAATTGTTTTATATTCTGTAACATAATTGTTAACAGAATATAAAAAGTAGAGAGCTAACATAAACTCTTTACTTTTCAGTGCAGATATACTATTTAAATAATTTTGATATATTTTTTTCTTGCATTCAATGAATTTTTCTGATTTAGTATATTTTTAATGTTTATTCATAAAATAAATAAATTGAAAACTTAGCTCAAGTAGCTTTTGATATACCTTGTTTTCTAGTTTGATATTTATAATTTATATCATTAATGAGGAGAGAAATTCTATCTATTTCTAACTTAATTTAAACAAGTAATGATATGAATTTAAAATGTTCATCAAATAATTCACTTATATTAAATTTTATACATACATACATACATACATACAACATAATTTCTAAACAAATAGCATTTTGCTTACTTTCTTTGAATATGAGGAAATTTGATAGGAATGTTTGTTTTGTTTGAAAATAGCTTTATTCATTTCATCACTACAGAAATATATAAATATATAGTGGAAAAATTTAAAAATCAGAAATAAGTAGAAATATATGAATTTTAAATCATTACTGCTTGTTTATTGTTTTAAAATTTAATTTTTCGATAACTGATTTATGTTTCATATTATAAAGATTATTTTCCTCAGTTTTATGAATTTTATTTTTAAATTTATAGTAAAGTAGAAATAAGATATTCTTTTTAAATGTCTACTTACCTAATTTTAATTATGATGATTCACTGCTGATCTTATTTATTAAATAATTTTTTTACATTATTTATAAAATTGATTTATTTTTGTTAAATTATATCTTATTTATTGCAATACAGTATTTGTAAATATACACATTATTATTTTTGGACTATAAAGTGTTATAATTGTATATAATCAAAGCAATTTAACTCAGAAACATTTTAATAATCCGAACTCACAAATGCATTTTTTACCTTTATAAGAAAAATATATTTACAAATGTTTTTATAATTTTTCAGTTTATCTAGTAAGAATAGAAAACTTTTAAGAACTAAATTACTGAGGAAATACTGTATTTATCTCTGGAGATTTGAGTTTAATATCTGATCAATTTTTTTTTGATTGCACATTTTACCAGTATGCTGTCAATTTTGTAATTTACTGATGAATCTCTGTCATTTCATTGACATAAGTATGAGGACAGTTTTTTGCAATCCCCTCTTCATAGAATGTTGCCACCAGTGACTTGAGATGGGCCTTAATGTTGTTTTGAAGATCATCATTAGTCTCAAACCTCTGCCCTTCTAGCCATGTTTTCAGTTCAGGAAAGAGGTGGAAGTCGTACAGCGCTAAATCGGGACTATATGCTGTGTGTTTAAACAAGTTCCAAGCTGGGTGGAAGTCTGAAAGGTGGACGTCTTCACACACCTTTAATATGTGAAGACTTTCTGCCTCTTCCCTGAACTGAAAATGTGGCTAGGAAGGCAGAGGTTTGAGACTAATGACAATCTTCAAAATGTTAAGGCCTATCTCAAGTCACTGGTGGAAACATTCTATGAAGAGGGGATTGCAAAGCTTGTCCACAGATATCACAAATGCTGTTTATTTTGATTTTATTCTTTATATGTTACATCCTGATTAATTTTGATGCACTCATTGAACGTATTTTAAAATTAGCATGAACTAGCCTGCAGATGTTTTAAAATAACCATTGGTATGCTCTTTCTATTCATTCATTCACTTCTAATTGACTTGGATGTTCTGAAATTTAAAAATTATTTTCATTCTAAATCAATTTTGGTATTGTATGTTGTAAAAAGTTTGAAATCCATTCAATATAGCTGAAAATGTTTGCTTGTAATAAAATAGTCTACACTGAATTTTATGGTATTTATTTAGTTAATTATTATGTATGTAATTTATATATTTACAGTAAAGCATCGATTATCCAACCCTCGATTAACTGTCACATCGGTTAACTGACCATTCTAGTTGGCAAATTTCAAATGTCTGCTAGTGATGTGCCAACTCAATATTTGGCTATGTCTTGGCTACTTTAATATTATTTTTGTTAAATTTTTGCGTGTTTTAGCTGGCAACAGGCTCAACCATTAAAGGGCAGCGAGTATTTAAACGAGACTTAATTTTCTAATTATGAGTGGTTGTTTGTTTTGTGAGCAATAAAATAATTTTTAACGATGCAATAGTGACGATTATTATTTTAAAAAAAAATTGTTAGGCTTAACATCAATGAAAATTCAATGCGAAGTTGGTTAATAGCAATATATTAATTACATGGGATATACTAATATACTATACTAATAATGTATTTTTTTTCATTGTTTTCGGTTATCAGATTTTTTCAGTTATCCAACCAACCTGAGTCCCCAATTGAGTCGGATAATCGATGCTCTACTGTACACACACACACACACACACACACACACACACACACATAGATAGATATATATATATATATATATATATTGTATAATAAACTGTATATTATTTATGAAGTTTAGAAGTATGAATTCAGTTTAAAATTTTTCGTTGCTTAAACATTATGTAGTGTAATTAATCAATCGCTTGGCATTCTTTTATCTTTTTATTTTCAAATCAGTTGATCAACTGATTTGGAAATAAAAAGATAAAGGAATGCCAAGTGATCGATCAATTACACTACATAGTATTTTAGCAACAAATAAGAATTATGACATGATTTGATTGTCAAATCAATTTAAAATATTAATAATAATTTATTTAGTATTTGGATATTTTAATTAGTATATTCACAGTGTTAACTGAAACATACTAGATCAGTTTTTATTATTGACATTTTTAAAAGAAAAAGTGATGATTAATATTTTTTGTAAGAGCAGATATTTAACAGTTATTGCAACAATTTTAAAAAATCTTATGCACTTTTACTACATTACTTTCTAATCAGAATCTTGTAAGTTTATATAAAAACACATATTGCTTATTTTTTGCACAAAATTCTAGTTAAAATATGAATAAATTTTCATTATAACA